AAAGCGATAATTCGAGTACTCTAGGGCAATATTTTGTAATTTTGCCGTATATCAAATACACGTATACATTTTACTTTTTTCTTAAAAAATAGGTAAAAAAAAATAAAATAGCAACCGGAGCTGCTATGTTGTAAATTGTAAAAATACTAGCAAAAAACAGTGTAAATTATATAAATTTCCAGTATCAAAATGGAAATTAAATCAAAGAAATAAATGGATAGCTGTACAATAAGAAGAAAAAACCTTTATTTTTGTAATAATAAGAGTAATATTGGAAATAGTAGATATCAGTAAATTGAAAGAATTTCAACATCCCTTAAATCTTAAATGTCCAGCAAGGATTAGATCTCTGCCTTTGCTTATTGTATGTGGCTGAAATGCAATCTTGTGACTTATTGATAGGAAATCTTTTTTAATCATTAATTTCTAAGGGTTCTTTCGAACTAAAAATGAAGAAAATCTAAATTACAATCTCAAATATACCAATTATTTTTCTTAATTCGTTTTAATTCTACGTTATTATATAATGGTAAAGTTTTTATTTTGACATTATTTAACCTATTCTTCAATGATAACTTATTAGGCTTAGGCAACATCTCATACATTTTCTCATGTTAAAATTGTGTTTTATTTTATTTTGTTATTTTAGTTTTTGTCTTCTTTGTTGGAATAATTTATTTAGTGGAGACTTTTGTTAATTGGTATTGCTATTTTATTTTTTATTTTCTTTGTTTTTCAACAAATAAAACATTCTAAATTTTTTCAAAATTTTGTCCCTCCCTATAGAATTGTGTAACGACGCCGATGTGTAAGACATAACATATTATAGGTTAGAATAACTTACTAGTATTATAAAAGTAATTGAGACATATAAGACGAAAGAAAAATATCCATAATAAAACACTTAAAAACTAGGCTATGCTACAAAAACATTCAAAATTATTATTAAAAAATAATAACTTCATTAATTATGTTACTTAAAACATTTCCGTCAAAAATTCAGATGTAATATGAAATATAAATAGAACTATTTTTATAAAAATATATTTCATGCTTAGACGCTCGTATTAAGTTTGCTGATCTTGTGGGATATTGGTGTTAATCAGCGATTAAATTAAAATTAATCTAATTATTCCTCGCATAAAGGATACAGTTGTATATGTATAAAGAAAACAACGTGAAAATTTTGTATTGTTTGAAATTATGGCGACATGTTTCTTAATAATCCAGATTAAATATTAGGCGGATGATGCGGTTTGAGAGATGAAAACTCTGTTAGGAACTACCGCTCCACCCTAAAGGATAATGTTATCGAAAATGAGGGAATACACAAAGGCATAGAATTAAGAAGGTTAGCGTTGGTAAACATATTTTTTAACTGCTACAAAGCATAATAGCTTTTGTTTAACGTTTTACAGAATCAGAAAAGGAATAAATATCAATATATTTTACTGAAATTTTAAATTCATTTGAAATTTCGGTTCTACTAAGAAAATGTATAGATATCTACCGTTTTGTATACAATTAATTTTCTCAGCAGATTTTACTGCAGTTGCTAATGCAGTTGTTATAAATTTGTTTTATTTATCTATTACCCTTAAACTTATTCCGCCACTGACCATTGGTGATTATCATTGACATACAATTTTATTATTGATTTTTCAATAAACATCAAATAAAAATAAAATATAATTTTCCCTTTATCAATATAAAGTCTATAATCTATTCACAAATACAATAAGGTTAAAACACATTCATCCAGTAATATTACCAGCACACAGAACTAACTGATCAGTACTGATATTCCCTGATATCAGGGGACTCATTTTCAACTTTTTAAAGAAGCGACCTTTGATCACAACCTTAACAAATTTTCCCAGGAAAGTAAGTCTGGTAAATAGATCTTACTCGTCTTATCTGCTGACTATCGCTGAGCAAATCTCATAGAAAGGAAGTACATGTATTAAAAGAACCGAATCGACTAAAAAGACTAGGACAAGATTTCTTCTCCGTATAGTTTATATTTTTTATGAACACTCTACTTATTTATATCAATTCTTCAGCCTAGTTCCAGCTTTTTCTTAATATAATACCTTTAATTGTACTGCATAAGTGCCTTGTTTTCCTAGGTATTCCTTTTAAATTTTTCCTGTACGTCTAATTTGAACCACATTTTTTTTATTATATAATTTTTTTGTCTCATCAAATACTTTATTTCCATTGCTGGAATCGTATGTTTGTTTTTCGGTCAGTACCTCCTTTGTCACTAAAACAGAATTGATTTGTAGATTGGCTCTTAATAACCTTAATTCCAAAAAAAAGAGAGGTGTACCAAAAGCATATGTAGAGTAGGGAGTAGACAGGACTTAGAATGCAAGAAAGACAGGCTTTCCTTAGGCATTAGATCCGTCATAGTTGTTCTAGAATTATTTAATTATTCTGATTGAGCTTATGCGTAAATCTTCTCTGTTAGTCCATTGGATTGATTCAATATGATACAATAGTATTAGTCGGTAATCTGTATCTGTAACGTGTGGAGGGTGGGTTATCTCACGGCACTTAGGCCTCATTAGGCACATTGTGCATCCTTCTAAGTAGATAGGAACCTCTTAGCTCGTGATTTAGCCCACAGATTTAATGCAGTTGACAACGACACCAGGATAAAGATATGCAAAGGATATGTTCGATGGTGTCATCTTCTTTTTCGCACCCTTTGCATAGTGCTGATCCTGACAGCCCCATGATATGCACTTGGCAATGACCAGTCAGAATGCATGTGATCAGGTGCAGATTCTGTCTACTCATAGTCAAATATTGTCAGGATTACTAAAAAATAGCTCCATGGCAACTCTGCAGTTGCTTGTTTTATCCTATCTTTCCTTGAATTTCACAAGGAAATGTTCTTTAATTAGGTTTGTAACTTCCAATATTGTCAGTCCAGGTCCTAAAAGTATTAGGTTGACTGCCTTCTTGGCCAGTGAATTAGCAAGACGGTTACCTTTCGATATGGCACTACCTTTTATCCATCTTAAGTTGATCACATTATTGATGGATACTTCGGCCAAAGCTTCGTGACATTCTAGTACTAACCCTGGGTAATTTCGTGGTTTGCCCAGGGTGAGTAGTGCTTGTCTGCTATCTGTATAGATGAGCATTCTCCTTCCAGTAATATTATTTCTGGTGATTTCTTTTGCTGCTATGAGAATCTCTGTGAGCTCCGTTTGAATTAGACCGGTACTACTGCTCACAGCCCATTTTATGTTTAGGTTTAAGGATCTGGAGTATATTCCACATCCTGAGACTTGTTTTGTTTTAGATCCGTCGGTAAATAACCTACTGAATTTTTCACTTTAGTTTTAGAGTTCATTTCACACGATAATAGTAGCATTACATTTTTTTTCTCCTGGGCTCGTCTGACTATGTGTCTCCGAATAACACTGAAACCTATTGGCTTATTGTGTTTTACCCCATGTTAGTTCATAGCACCCACTCTGTCACCTTTGTACCTTGTACAAGTTTGTACAGATCCTTGGGTGAGTGGGTTCTATACGTTGTTGGATCAACCTGAGGTTGTCCAAAAAGAGCCTGTCTTTTGCGATCTAGAGCTTCCCATTCGCACAGTATATGTTTGGCCGCTTCTGGTTTCTTGTGACATAGTCGGCACATGAGTTTGCCATTGTACATGCCAATTTTGTTCAAGTATCCCTTTACTGGGGCGTGCCCAGTCATGAACCCTGTTATCACTTTCAACTGGTTCCTATTCATTAAGAGTAGTTCTCCAGTTCTTTTTGGACATGGTCTGCATATGAAGGCTTTTCCATGTGCCTGTTTTGGGGTGCTTCCCCAATAGTTGATATGTTATTTCCGAATCCAGTCGTTTATGAAATCCCGGACAGGTACTTTTTGATACTCCTGAGTTTGTGTCTGGTTCCGGTGTTTCTTCTGACCCTCTTTTTGCAAGTTCGTCAGACTTTTCGTTGCCTTCGATACCCTTGGTGACCTGGCACCCAAAATAGTTTTACTCTATTTCGGTCTGCCAGTGTTCTTAGTTCTTCGATGCATTCCCATACCAGCCTCGACGTAACTTTCTGACTCGCTATGGCCTTAAGTGCCGCTTAGCTGTCTGACATTATTCGAATATGCTGCTTTTCGACAGCTTTCATTGTTCGTTTTTGCACATTGCAAAATTGCGTATACCTCGGCCTGAAATACCGAGGAATGTATTCCTATAGCATAGCTATGGTTAGTATCAGGGTTTTTGAAGAATACTCCTGCCACAGTGCCTTCCGCAGTCTTGGACCCGTCTGTATACCAGGTCTGTTCCTGTCGTTGGGCATTGGGCTCCCTTATGGTGTTTTCCGCTCTTTCCTGTATTAAAACCTCAAATGGAGTATTAAAAGAGTACCTCTTGGTTATGTGGTCTGATCTCATGTCTAGCACGTCTCCTGTCACTAACCTTGAGATACTCATGTGACCTGGCCTAATGTCAAGATTTCCCAGTGTATTCCCTACATTGCTACATTTGCAATTCCTTTGTGGTGGACCTTCGTATTTCTAGAACTCTAGCAATATTTAGTGTCAGGCTATAATATATCGCATTCAAGCTAGACTGTTAGATTGTCACACTGGCAGGACTCGTTATTAGAAATGAAGCATTTCTTAGTAAGCACAATCAAAAAATAATTTTATCTCTGCTGTTTTTCTTTGGAAATAATTCAATACGTATTGCGGTATTAGCCAAAGGAGTACCTAGGTGTTTTCTGGAAGGAACTGGTTTCTCGTATTTATTATGTATACACATCTCAATTCGCAATTCATATAAAAATCCTTATAATTATCTCTTAATTCCTAGAGTAACACATCCGAAGGAATTTATAAACTTTTTCTACGAAATTGTTTGCTAATAAAAATTCAAAATATCACGAAATATTGAAGCATTCGAAATTTATTAAATGCGCTCTGTAAATATTGTACTTAACGACGAAAATTTGTTGTTTCAGCTGAAGTAATGCACGAAAACACGTCAGATGGAAATTCGGAGCATAACTCTTCTGGCGACGAGGACTCGCAGCTGAGGTTGAGACTGAAAAGGAAACTCCAGAGGAATAGAACTTCCTTTACCAATGAACAAATCGATAGTTTAGAAAAGGGTGAGTTAATCTTTTGACTCTGTTAATTAAACTTATTGACGTTTGATTTGGCTTTGAGAGAATCACTGAATTATTAAGTTTGGTAGTTTTCGTTATTGCTGTATATATAAAAAAAAAACACCAAATAACATATACTTTAATCAAAAGTATGTTTTATTTTAATAAACAATTAAGTTTAATAATCTATAAGATTACTAACATTCATTTCATTTTATTCTTGATTTGTATTTAAAAATACTTTTAATATAAACAAGGGTATCTTACTACTTTAATGTGGTAAGACAATGACACAAAATCAATCCCTTATAAATATGCTTAACTGACTTCTTATTTGTCTTCTTCTTCTCGGATTCCTTTCGCCTTTTTAGGCGTCGGAAATAGATTTATTGTCCTCTTTATTAACAAAATATTACATGAAAACCGTTTTCGACACTAGTACCTTTATCAGATCTACAATTCTGGAAAAAACACTGTTAAAAAAGTTTTTGAACAAGTTAGAATTATACATACATAAATTGTTTAAGCCAGTGCTTGGATTATCTCCTTTTATCTAATTTTTAGTCAAGCATTTTAATTCATTTTTCAATTAAAAGCACTTCTAGCTTTTCTCTCCATGAGGGTTCTTGGTAGTAAACACATTAATTATTATTTAATGTTTTTCTTGAGACGTCCAAGGATTGCTATAAACAATATTTTTTATTTATGTATAAAATCTTTGTTAATACTGTTTTTTTATAGTCGTAGCTTTGATAACGATCTTAGGGCCAAAACCGGTTGTCATATAATGAATATGTATGCGTGATTGATTTTTAGTCATTGTCCTTACTAATTGAAATAATAAGTAAATAGTTCAGTCATCTTCATAATCAAAGGCATTTTAGGGAGATATTTTTTATTTAAAATTATTGCTGTTATGCAAAATCCTTAAGAACCATTATTCGAAAACATGGAATTAGATAGCTCATACTCAATTTTGTGAATTTTAACAAACTAGCATTATAACTAGATAGATCTATGCAATATTGAAATCTACAGGTAGGTAATCATATTAGACAAACCAGTGTCTTGCACAAGCATATTGCTTTATTATATGGAAACAATAATATCAACATTTTTTATTACGAATGATATAATTTTTTTTATATTTCTGCAATATTTATTGTAAAAAATATTTTTATAATTTTTTATTTTTCAGAATTTGAACGGACTCACTACCCAGACGTTTTTGCTAGAGAGCGGTTAGCAGAGAAAATTGGATTACCTGAGGCACGTATCCAGGTAACAATTTTTTTCCAAATCCTACCAAAAAAGCCCACAACGATAACTTGTTTAAATATTGATATAAATACAATTTCATATGCGTTCAATAATATAAAAACGAAAAAATGTAAATATAAAAATGGCGTATCGCCATGGATCAACAGAAACTCAAAGGATTCTTTTCCTGTTTTCTATGTTTTCGTTATTTCACCGAAGAAAAGACTGAAAAGTTATATAACTTTTAAATTTCTTTTTAATCGGCGTTAAAGGATAATAATTGATGTTGTTCTTATTTACTTATATATGGTTTATTATTATATAGTTTTTTAACTTCCTGAAGTATTTAATACATTCTTTTTATTAAAGTCTTACTGACAACAGTGTAGGTAGTAGTGCGTACCACGTGTTTGCAAAAAAGTCTTGAAAATTACTGTTGTTAAAAAGAACAGTGATTCTTTAAATTCGTTTTATTAAAGAAAAATCAGTTTTATTAATACAAGATCTGAAATGTGGTAAAATTAAGTCGAAACTTTTATATAATGTCCTAAAATGAACCAAATACGTAGGTACTTAAAAAAACATATTTCTTTATTTTTAGAAATATTAATTTTTTCATTAGGAACTTACATAAAAATAAAGAACTTGATATATTTCTGCAATGAATCGCTAAGATAAATTAACTGTAGCTTTATTAGTAAAATAGCAACATTAAAATTTTTCATAAAAAGCGTCCCCATCTTCAGCAACATTTTCAGTGATTTAACTTATCGATTCAGGTATAATTTTTGTTTTAATAAACTAAAATAATTTTTATCATAAATTTAAGTTCTTGAAATCAAATAAACAAATTTCTAGAACATATAATGAAGCTAGAGGTAAAACAGCGTATTCTATAAATATTGGTCGACAAGAATCATATTTAGGAACTTTACCTATTATTCTTAGGATCTTTCTTTGAAGATTAAAAACGTCACTAGAATCAGTTGAGTTTCCTTATAGACCAATCAGATATCTCAATCGAGATGCTACTTGAAGCATAATAAATACAGATTAAAGTTTCATGATCTAAAACTCCTCTTACATGTCTAAACAAGTAACACAATTAGTGATGCCGCGAGACGAGACGAGAAAGAGGTCTCTCTCGTCTCGAGAGAGCCTTTCTCTTGTCTCGTCTCGTTTCTCTCGTGATAAAAACATCAAATTTAAGTTTGGAAACATGAAAAAACTGTAAAATTTTGAAGACAATAATAAATAATTCTTCAATTAATTTGTCTCATCAGTACCCAAATTGGCAATAAGCAGTGGCGTAGCAAGCCATTTTTCATGGGGGGGGGTTTCTGAGAACTATGGGGGGGGGTTTCATCAAGAAAGTGAATAAAAACAAACAGTCAATAACGATCGGCGCTAATACTATAGCGGAAATGGTGACGCAAGGACCCACCATTGGGGGGGGGGGTTGGTTCTGACCCCTCAATTATTCAAGTATTATTGGTTACTGTTTAACATAGATATATAGAATAGGTGGGTTATAGTTAACTTTTTGACTATCTGGAAATGTGATGTTTTAAATTTTACGATAAGCAATTGAAAATTTTAAATAAGCAAAAAGTGAATTGCTCGAGAGAGCTCGAGAGTAACGAGAAATTCTCGTCGAGAGGATGGCACTCTCTCGTCTCGTCTCGAATCTTTTTTCGAGAGAACGTCTCTCGTCTCGCGGCATCACTAAACACAATGAATTTAATAAATTTTTCCAAAATTTACAATGACATTTAATCAACAAGGAACACAATAAATTTAATTTATTTTTTAAAAATTCAAAATGTACTTCCTGATGAAGTAAATAAATTTAAATTAAAAGCTATAACTATAAAATACAGGTACTCTAAAGACGCCAAAGATCAAAACCAAACAAAGGAAATTATAGAATAACGAATAACCTTAAAATCACTCTCAAAATTGCAAAACCCAGTACTGTAAAATCATGAGATTACAGCAATAATGCGCATGCGTCCAAGTACTCCAGTGTTTTCATGAAATGTTTGCTACATTTTCAGCAGCGTTAGAGGACTATTTATACGACGCGCACTTGGCGATGGCATTCCATTTTAAATATTACATTTCAGTAGTTCCAATATAAGCCTGATACATTTTAATACAGCTTGAGATTGTGATCTTTCTGGATGAGAAGACTTTCCAATTTCTTCACATGGTCAAAATATTTTTTATAGTTTATCAGGCTAGTAAATTTTATTGAACATTCTTGAATTTGAATGTTTATCGAAGCGCATGCACCAAGGTACACCAAGAAAGTGTAGTCGTCAAATTATACAATATTTGGAAATTGCAAAGATTGATTAAATACATTTTCAAACTGTCCATATAAATATTTTTGCAAATTTTTCTCTTTTCCTTGCAGTATAGGAATACTTAACCTGCCTTTATTAGATTCTCAAGGCTGATTCCTACTCAATCTTCCTGATATTCCACTGTACATTTCTAGAAAGAAACATTTTACGACCTACCTTTTTAATATTTTGATTGAGATCTTCAATTTTCGTACAATATTAATAAATCACCCTATATATCGGTGAACACACATTCAATATTTATCCAAAACAGCAAAAAAATTGTTGCGCAATTATTTATTCTGAAAATAAAAAAATTATATATCTATAAAAAAAATAAAAAATCGCTGACCCATTCTCATCAATAACTGTATGCTGGTATGGAGCGTTAAATAAAAACGCTACGTGTACAGAATAATTGTTTGTACATGATGGCCATATCGCACGAAGACGACACCTTCATCACTGAATCGTCTAAATACAATCCGGACAATCCATTCGAGTTGTACAGTATATTTTTTCTACAATCTACTCATGATTTTAAGAATCAATTAGGAGGTTAATAAGATAAAATAATTAACATATTCATTTGAATTTATGACCTTTATTAATTCATAAAATAAATATTAACATTAAAAATTACATATCAAATAATTATATACTTTTTCTTATTTTTAATGACGCGTTGGGCTTAATTTGAATCCACTTTTAAGTATATTACATCGTTAGTGATGCCGCGAGACGAGAGATTCTCGTCTCTCGTCTCGTCTTGTCTCGTCTCGAACGAGACGAGAAAGACATTTTCTTTCGAAAACAGATTCGAGACGAGAGAGTGTCATCTCTCGACGAGAATTTCTCGTTGCTCTCGAGCTCTCTCGGGCTCTCTCGAACAATTTTCTCTTTGCTTATTTGAAATTTTCAATTGCTTATCGTAACTTAAAATTTTAACATATTAGATTTCGAGTCAAAAAATTAACTATAACACACCTATTCTATATATATTAAATGGTAACAAATGATACTTGTGTTATTAGGATTTTATAAATGGTGATAAGAAAAAATATTTCTCATTTCATTTATTTAAAATTTATACAATCATTTCTTATATTTAATCCATTCTGCTTTTCTGGGGTGACCTTTGAAGATAAGTTTTAAAATTTTTAAGCGTTTTTTTTTTTCGAAAAACTGCCAAAGAAAAGTTAATACAAACGAATGTATTATATACAGTAAGGACGAAAATTGTACCCTTCTCTATTTTAACTTCTAAAGGAAAAAGGATAATGACAAAACAAAAACGAGGTAAAACTAAAGAGATATTATATTTTTGTTATAACGAGATGCACTTTACTTGAGACACGTAAGATAGAGGCAGTTACTAGCTTTAAATTTTCTAATGGAAAGTAGGGTCATGTGATACCTCATTTGAAAGATAATTTCTATATTTTTACGTTCATGTAAACAGATTTAGGTTTTTATGTTTTTACAGAAATTAAATTAAATAAATTCATAAAGTAGGTTAAATTACTTTTTTTATTTACCGCTTCAACCTAAAAGGATCATTACCGGAGGTATAATACCTTATAAATGCTGTTTTTTACAATAGTATACAATTGATAATCAATATTTTGGCCAGTATAGAGTAAATGTCAGTATCTTTTATAAATTTAAGTAATTTTTTACTGTCAGAAGGATTTAACACTGCACAAATGGCATTTTTTGTAGCTGGTACTTTGTTCTTATACAGACATGTTCTGGGCCTTTACTAATAAGTAACATTGTTGATAACTCTCGTATTAACAATGATTGTTTATTACTAAGGAAGCCCTTCTTGTATTTACTAAAATAAATAAATAAATAAATTAAGATTATCAAAGGTGATTTAAAAACCACTTGACGTATTAAATTTCTTGGCAAAAAAAAGCTTATTAAAAAATTCTCTTTTAACATTATTTAACATTTCTAGGATTATTGCGGCACACGAGGATTATCACGAATGTAATTTTAGTAAAAACAAAAAAAAATTTGATTGGACGTAAATATAATCAAAATCTTTCAAATGAGGTATTACATGACTTTACTTTCCATTAGAAAATTTAAAGATAGTAACGCCCTCTATTTTATGTCTCAAGTAAAGTGCATCTCATTATAACAAAAATATCATAATGTTTCTCTAATTTCACATCGTTCTTGTTTTGTCTCTATCTTTTTGCATTTTGAAAACATACTACAAAATGCTTCCATTTGACATCGCAGAATTGCATTAGAAAAATTCTAATTTCCAATTTAACCTGGGTACTGATGCGCACATTACTTAAAAAATTCTTTGTTTTTGTCTTACAAATTTTACCGTTTTTTCATGTTTCGTCTATTTCAGATTTAAATTTGATATTGTTTTATCACGAGAGAAACGAGACGAGACGAGACAAGACAAGACGAGAGAAAGGCTCTCTCGAGCGAGAGAAGCGCCTTCTCGTCGAGACGAGAGAACAGTTTTCTCTCGCCCTACGAGACGAGAGAGGCCACTCTCTCGTCTCCTCTTGTCTCGCGGGATCACTATACATCGTTGCCACGTCTATTTTACCCAGGACTATTTATAAAATAACTAAAAACAACTAATTAAACTGATGGAATAGGGTAGAGATTTGGATCATAGTAATGAACAGAGCTGGGAAA